CCTGTACTCAGAGCACAGGGTGGGCTCTTTAGCCCAGGCTGTTGTGGGCAGTGTGAGAACCCAGCTGGGTCCGAGTCGGGGGGGCGGCAGCTTCAAAATGTGCTCTGTAAGCCTGAAGGAATAAACCTGGGGCAGACAGAGAAAAATCCAGATCCCTAGTCCTGGGGAGTTGGAAAGAAAAGCTGTCCTATATTTGGGATGGAAAATAAAAGCAAACTAGTCAGCAACAATGTGGAGTCCCTGAGGAGAACTGGATCTAGACCTTGACCTGACATTCCAAGCACCATGATCTGCCCCTTAGGTGGCCAGGATCCAGCACCTGCCTCCTGGGCTGGAGTGGGCATGCTAGGGACTGAACGAACATGACCCCCCCAGCGTGACAGTGTCCAAAGATGGGCCTGGGGGAGCTAATGAGGTTCAGATGAGGGGATTAGTACCCTTAGAAGAAGAAAACTGAAGGCTTGCTTTCTCTCCTCACCATGTGAGAATGCAGAGACCTCTCACCAGGAACGAATTGACCTGCACCTCCATCTGGAACTCCCAGCCTCCAGAAATGTGAGAAGTAAGTGTCTTGTAGTTTAAGCTCCCAGTCTATAGTATTTTGCTATCAGCCCGAGCTGACAAAGGGCGGCAGGTGTCTGCAGTGGGGCTTTGCTATCCCTCAAGTCACCGAAACGTCTCCTGCTCCTAGGAATCTTACCACACTTCACCACATGGCACTTCTCTCCTTTCTATAGTTCTCTGTGCCTCAACCATGACACTTAATGTGGCACTGGTCTTCCTCGAAACACTGATAGTTATGAGTTCATCTGATTCAGTTTAACTTCTCCCAACTCGGCCCGATAAATCCACTTCCTGAACCAATCCCAACCGAGGCAGGAGACCCCTCCCAGTTGATCCCACAGGGCATCTGACTTACTGTGCATGCCAACTGCAGGGCAGCTTCCTGGCTCATACAGTTCCTATCCCTTCTCTTCCCTTGGCCCTCCCGAGTCGGCGGATTCTCATAGCGTGATTACTATACTCGGGTCTCTAAGACTAGTTCTGCCACAAGGCTGCCTCTTACCCATCGGGTTGCCAGATAAAATAAGACAACAGTCTTCTGGTGTAACTATGTCCTGTGCAATATTTGGGACATACTTATGCTAAAAAATTACTTACTGTTTATCTGGACATTTAAATTTAGCTAAACATTTTCTATTTTTAAATTTTTTATTTGTTCTTTTTGTTATACGTGACAGTAGAAACCATTTTAATATAGTACATGCTTGGAATATATCTTATTCTAATTAGGATCCAGTCTTGTGGATGTACACGATGTGAGATTCACTGTGGTGTATTCTGTCACGAGCCATCCATGGGCTGTGGGGACTATGTTGCTCATCGTAGCCTAATGAGGGGAACGTCCCGTGGCACCCCCACAGGGACTGACCACCTGATGCAGGTGAACTTCCCCCTCAAGCTCTGCCAGAGATCCCACACAGCACCTGAGATGGGTGAAGCAAGACTCTGCCCTTAAAACCTTATCCCTGCCTTTGATGTCCCCTGATACAAATAAAGCAAGTGTGGGCTCCATTTTGCTTTTATCAGTGAGGAAGCTCGATCCCTGAGATTGGCCAGCCCATCCTGCCCCCCGCTTTCTAAAAATGTTTTCTGTATCCTGTGGTTCTTTCGCCGTTCTATTTTTCTTAGCTTTTATTTCGCGGCCAGCCCATTCCAACAAGGGGGACTGCATTTCCGTCACTTGCACGAACATGGGAGAGTATTTATATGTGTACATAGGAAAGATATGTCAGATTCATTCCAATGTCTTTCCTTTTCGTATCCCCCTTCCTTCCCTCCATTCCCCGTTGTCTAATCCACTGAACTTCTATTCTTCCCTCCCCCTTATTTTGGATTAGTTTCCACATATCAGAGAGAACACTCAACCTTTGGCTTTTGAGGATTGGCTTATTTCACTTAGCATGGTATTTCCAGGTCCATCCAATACTGGCCAATGTTATAAAGTCATTCTTCTTTATGGCTGAATAATATTCCACTGTGTACATACACCACACTTTATCCATTCATCTATTGAAGGGCACCTAGGTTGGTTCCATAGCATAGCTATTGTGAATTGAGCTGCTATAAATACTCATGTGGCTGTGTCACTGCAGCATGCTGATTTTAACTCCTTTGGGTATAAACTGAGGAGTGGGATACCTGGGTCACATGGTGGTTCCATTCCTAGTGTTTTGAGGAATTTCCATACCGCTTTCCAGAGTGGTTATACTGATTTGCAGTCCCACCAACAACATTCTCTATTTCTGTTTATCAACTCTCCCAGCACCACGTGATTAGATGACATACCTAACACTGATGCATCCTGCCTTGGGGACCAGAGCCCTATGCCTGGGACTCAAGCCTCGGCCTCAGCCCAGGGCCTTGCTTTCACATGGCTCCGCTTGTCTGGCGGGATTCCCCAGAACTACTCCTCTGCCCTCCATTCAAGACCTCTGCTGGCAGCTCAGTCTGGAGCTTGTCCAGCCCGGTGGACAGGTCTGTTGCCAACCTGCCCCCAGCTGAGTAGCCTCTTGGTTCCCATAAACCCCATGACTTGCTGATGAACCCAGGCTTTGACTGGAATGTCCAGCTATTTCCCACTGGACTGTGACCCCAAGGGGCAGGAGGACTTTCCTCAATGATGCCATGATGTTCTACATATCACGGGTAGTTAATAAATGACAGTTAACCTCAGACGGAAATACACAGACGATTGAACTGGGAAAGAGGTTGTAAAAATAGGGGCAGGATAATGAGAAAGCAGATAAAAGAGGCCAGGTAATATTCTGAGTCAATAGAAAAGAGTGAGTATGAGATGGTGCAACTGGAACTAACTTCCTCTTTGTATGTTTTGATCCCAAACTTTCTCCAAAAAGAATTTTTTAAAAATTATTTATCTTTAAAAGTCTAATTATCTGGACTCAGTGGCACATGCCTGTAATTCCAGCTACTGGGGAGGCTGAGGCAGGAGGATTATAAGTTTGAGGCCAGTCCCAGCAACTTAGTGAGACCCTGTCTCAAAATAAAATAAGTAGGGCTGGGGATGTAGCTCAGTGGTAGAACACTTGCTAGCATGTGTGAGGCCCAGGGTTCAATCCTCAGTACTACAATAAAAATATAAATAAATGAAAGTCTGATTACAGGTACAGGAATACTCTGGGACAGAAGTTGGAAAGAAGTAAAGACCACAAGCCCCTCAGAAGTCCTCAGAAGTGACCAAGGTTTATAGTAATGGAGGCTGGCCCAGAGTACTGCCTTGGCATTGTCCAGAGCCATGTATTCACTCTTTTTCCTGAACCTCAGTCCTTTATATAGTACATTCTTATGAGGTATTTTGGTCACAGTGACAAAAATCTAACACCATTTATACTCCCGTAGAGATTCAATTTTTAAGGATGTCTTGGGTTGAGTATTTACTATGCATTGAACACCAGGCTAAGTTTTCAAGGAATTACGTAATGTAACTTTACATCCTCCTTATGAGATAGTTATTGCATTTCCCCACATACAAGTAAGGAAATGGGGGCTTAAAGGAAGATTATCTACACAGCCCCCAATGGGCACTGGAGACAGGTTTCAGCCCATTCCAAAGTCTGTTTCTTGATGATTATGCAATGGCTACAGGCAGCAATCTGGGGGTGCTGATGCAGGGAAGCATCAGGCTGCCTGTGGCCACAGACAGTGTGCTGACAGCCTTCTCTGCCTTAGACCTGGGGTCGGCCAACTCACCTGGGGCCAAACTTGGCCCACTGCCTGGGTGAGCATGACCATGCCAAGTGGTTTACATGTTGTCTATGGCTGCTGCTGCTATGATAGAAACTGTATGGCCCACTCAGCAGAAATTGTTGATGATATAACCCTCTACAGAAAATGTTTTCCAACCCTTATGTCAGGCCACTGAAGCCTTCTGCTAATTGCTCTAGAAAGGAGGGATTTTCCAAATTTTAGAAAAAAAAAGGAAGAGAGAGCAGTAGTCCCCTAATTTGGGCAAAAACCACTATATATATTCTATCATTTCATAAAAGACAAGATTTTAATACTTAAGTATAAGGGGATATAATTACCAATAGTACTTTGGGTGAAATAAATTTAAATGTATGAAAAACTTTGATACTATTTGTATAGATGACTCCATAGCACCTGTCAGCCCTCCGAACCTGTGTATCTATCATTCATTCATGCACTCACTCTGTCAGACCATATGATTTATTGAGCACCTACTATGTGCCAGGTACTATACCCATACTAAGGGCATGATGAATCATTTCCCTCTATTTCTTTTACCATCTGTCTTTCCTTTGGTTGTTTGGATTGAAAAAAAAAAAAAAAACCTTTTAACACAATTCAATTAACCATTTTCTTGTTATGACAGCCTGATGGTATATCACTGGGGAAAATGATCCATTTGAAAATATCACAACACAATAATATGGGGTCTCTCTCTTTCTCTTTTAGTTGTACATAATGACTTGAGAAACTTAGGGCAGGAAGATATTTATCAAGCCACAGAAACTGTCCACTCCAGATCTCTGAGGGTAACTGTTCACACATATATCTTTCCATTTTGAAGTTCTCTAATATAAAAGCTCCACCTCCCAATAATTCCTCAAATCCCTTAATACCATGTTGCTAGAAACTATTCTTCTATGATAGTGAATGTATCCCCAATAAAGCAGTCAAGTCATTTAAAAATTATAAGCAAAAGTTAATTATACAAAGTGACTATCCAGGTACTTCAAAAGTTAATTATAAAGTGACTATCCAGGTATATTCTTGAACAAATGAGAACATTCAAATTGTTGCATTACATATAAACTATGTAACATGTCTATGCTTAAATATATCTGATTCAGAATTATTCCTTTTAAAAAAACTATCACATTGATAAGACAAATACAAGGAATGTTCCAATTACTCCACTGATCATTGGATATTTAAAAAAAATTATTGATACTTACTGTGTATTCTGATTCCAGATATTCATTTGAAGAAAAGGGAAAAGAAAAAAAAAGATAAGAATGATTTAGACCATATTTATGTGTAACACACCACAGAACTAAAAAATACGGAGTTATAATTATTAAAAATGAACTATAATTATTAAAAATGTAGTAAAGAAACCTTCCCAAAATTAGATTTTCATAAATACTAATGTCTCCATTTCTGTTCTGAAACTATTTTAATAGGTTGTGGCTGGGCAGATAAGAACAGGAAGACAAGATTCAATTAGCCTATAGGTTTGTGGCTAATTAAAAACCCAAGAGTTGGCATTCTACAAGCAGAATTAAAGACTAATAATTCCAGTAAAGCATTTCATTTACCACAAAGGAAATCTTCTAAGTGGAAAAGTAGCTTTTATAACCAGTACAAAGAGCTTGTTATAAGAATGTGCAAACGGCATCTTGGAATTTGGTGTATTCAAGAACAGGAACCAAACCTAGATTTGGGGGGGCCATGGTTTCTGGTACAGTATTCAGTACAGAGAGTTTATAAGCACTTCTCTAGGAGGAAGGTGATCTTAAAGATTTTCATATTTTATTCCAATAACAAAGGAAGTCACTGGGAGCAGAAAGACTCAGTAGAAATTTTTACACAAATTATAATCAATTGGGGTGGGGCTGTAATTCAAACAAGCCAAAATAAACCACTTTAGAGATGAATCACAGGGAGAAATAGGAATAATAAAACCTCAAGAGACTAGGACTAGGTCTTCACCTCCCTTGTCAATGGCTGTTTATTACAGTCACTCCCGGGAGGAAGATGGAATGGCTTAGCTGAACCCCGCCCCCTGCCAGCCCTGTATGGATTATCGGTTCTAACTCAGTGAAATTCCACTACTGCTGTGTCCTGGCATTTACCACATGTGGCATACTGCTTGTGCTAAGGACTTACCTGTAATTGTGTAAGGATAATAGTTCCAAGCCTTCTCTGTCACATAAAATATTTTTGGGACAACAGCTCTAGCCCAACTTGGCAGTTTGCTAAGAGGAAAGAAAAAAAAAAAAAAAAGATATTAGAGCCTGTTCAGAACCTGGCCACATTACTGATCTTTCTGGATAAATTGCTAGAGAAATCAGGGATTCTCAAGCATCTCTTCTCTCTATGCCCTTCACTTCCCTATCCCTGCGCTTTTACCTGTGGCTGAGCATTTCCTGTGCATACTCATGTTCTCTCAAAATGCATAAAGGCAGGAGGCTATAGCCTCTTTTGGAGGAGGGAGGCTCCTAGGGCTGTAAACCTGGCTTCTTTGATTGGAGAGTTTGGAGCCTGGGAGGCGCCACGTTTGGAGAAGTCAGCCAACCCGGCCTTGGTCTCTTAGGGTGCCGTGGAGGAAGTGGTCTACGGGGATGCTTAAGCCCAAAGTGGGGGAAACAGAGGCCAGCTTCAACCCAGCAACCTGTATGAGTGGCCTTTCAAAAATGGGCAAAAGCAATAGAGGCGAGAAACTTGGAGACATGAAAAAAAAAACATCACCGCTTGGTGGCTATAGTTGGTTGAATGGTGTCCCTCAAAATGATGCAGTAAACTCGTACTGTGACCATGATCTCATATAAAAGCAGGGTCTTTGCAGATGTAATTAAGGATCTCAAGATGAAATAATTTTGCATTACGTTAGTCAAACTCTAATTACTAGAACCCTTATAGGAGAAAGAAGGAGGAAATTTGAGACTCCGACACCCAGAGGGAAGGCCATGTGAAGATGGCAGCAGAAAGCAGAGTGGGGCAGCTGCAGGCCGAGGGACATCAAGGACTGCTGCAGACAGCAGAAACCGGCTGAGGGCATGGAACAGATGCCCTGCAGAGTCCCCAAGCAATCCAACACTTCCATCACCTCGATTTCAGACTTCTGGCCCCCAGAACTCTGAGAGAATAAATTTATATTGTTTTAAGCCACTTCGTTTGTGGAAATCTGTTGTGTCAGCACCAGGAAATTAATCCAACGACAGAGTCACTCATTTGGAGCAAGGGCCTGGACAGTCACTTGCAAAAACACATCCTCAAAAGGCACAAGGTCCTAAGGTCTTTTGTACACGCAATACTAATTAACTTCTGTTGTGTTTTCCTTCAGAGGCAAGCCCTACAGTGAGCACAGGGCCAGAGAATTCCTCAAACATCCTTATAATATTTAAGAAACTTATAAGGCAATCTAGTTTTTAAACTAATCTACATGATTTTTATCCCCCTCCCCCTACAGCAACATATCCGGGATTTTTCTGCTTCTTTCCTGTTCCAGTGCCTACAGCAATGTCTGGGATGCTAACATCACACAGTGGATCAGACCTAGGGAGATGACGTAGATGCTCAGCCCCTTAGGGCTGTGTGTTGGCAGTAAAGAGCATCAAGAAGCAGTTCTGAATTCCAAGTTGATAAAACCAGGAGAGGGAGGACATCAAACCAGTTGAGCCCCAAATCCCAAACCCCTCTTGGATGTGAAACCTAAATGACAACAAGGGCCTGTCAAATACTGTGTACCTTGGGTGTCTTCTCAAATTGTTTCTCTTATTTCTGACAGTAGCCAGGCCCAGCTTTTGAAAAGACAAATGTGTATTTTCAATGGTTGGCCGGACCTAACTCAAAGCTCTGGGCTGTTAATCAGGGTTGAAACAGATGGGTGAGTGTCAGCCCATGGCCCTGGGTCTCAGGTGGGCTGCAAGAGACAACGAAGCTGCTTTAAAATCCACCTGACACTTCTTGCTTCTCTAATGCAGAATTTCTCACTCCCATAAAATCATCTCCACAGTAACTGCTCATTTACCTTATATTCTGCTTCTCAAAGGATGGGCGGCTCCCTGGCAGGGGTTTTTATAGCTTTTGCTGATGACTGATTCCATCAGTGACTTTGGAGGGCAACTGAGGTTGACATTGAGTGGGAAAATCCCACAGGCTTGCTTGCAGGAAATAGTCTTGAGCAAGACTTCCCCTGGGGTCCTTTCTGTTTGAACCCACACCCCAAAGTGATGCGCCAATGAATGTGTAGGGAAATGCAGATTCGAGTCTTGGGCACATATGCTTTTATGCTTTTAATGGACTGAAACAGGGTTGGAGATTCTTCTCAAAGTAAGCAAGCCATTTTTTAGCTTAGATGAAGTGCATATGTCTCTTTCAAGCCCAGAGCCTGCTCCCACAATTCTCTTGTGCAGAGAGGTTCCATCTCTGCTTCACTTCTCCTCAAATGCACTAGGCTCCTCCTGTGTAGCACTCTGAAGGCCTAGGTGCCTTCTCCCTCCATAATTCATTCTCTCTAGCATTTAAAAAGCCTCCCAACAGAACCACTTTCCTAAGTAACAGTCATTTTCTGGAAGGAAGATGAAACCAATGACAATTTTCCATTCATGCTGAGACCTTTCCTATTTGCAAACAGTCATGACTCCAGAATCTAGAAACTTCATTGTAGCTGTGCATCCACCAACTCATGAAGGATAGGCCAAACTACTGTCAATCACCTTTTCCAGTGAGATGCCCTAAAAAACACAAGTATCCAGCCAAGATGGCTGCTAGGATTTTGTATGTCTGGAGAGGAAACCCTTCTGGTATAAGACATTTATTGGGTCAAGTACAGCAGGTTGGGACCACTTGTTTGCAACAAGTTCCGTGATGTTTGCTATAGTTTGGATGTTAAATGGTCCCCGGAGGACCATGTGTTAAAGGCTTGGTCCCTAGGGTGGTGCTATTGGGAGGTGGTGGGACATTTTGGAGGTGGGGTCCTTAGGTCATTAGGGACATGTCTTTCAAAAGGGATTTGGGTACCCCAGCTATTTCCTCTTCCTCTTTTGCTTCCTGGCCATGAGGTGAGTAGTTTGCTCTGCCATGAGCTCCCCTTTCCCACATTGTCACATGAAACCTCCATCAGAGGCCTAAAAGCAATAGGTCTGCCTGATCATGAACTAGAACCTTTAACACTGTAAGCCAAAATAAACCTGAACACTTTATAAGTTCATTGTCTCAGGTATTTGTTATAGTGACAAAAAGCTGACTAACACAATGCTATTTCAGTATTTCTAAGCCCACTAACAGACCTCCTTTCCGTCCCCCTTCCCACAGAACACATCATTATTTGAATCATTTATGTCTGATAAAGTAAAACTTATTTTCCCCTGCAGCAGTGATTTATGAGGACCTGCAAAGGAAAATGGAATTAAATTAGTTCCCACTGTTGCTGTCACTTTCACGATATACACTGTCAATTCTAAGAAAAAGCCTGTCATTCATACTCACTACCAGGTGTCAAACAAAAGCCTCTCTTCTAGAAAGACGGCAAATTTGAGTCAAGTCCTTAATCCATGCTCAGGCCAGGACCAAATTTCCCAATGGGCCACCTCTCCAACACTCAGGACTTAGAGACATTTAAATTCTAAAGCTTTTCTAGAATCTGAACACATGCTACTGTGACATGATATTCAACTGCTTCATATTCCCCTAAGACGGCTCTGTCAATGCCTCTCAGACAGACTTCAAAGTGTTTGGTTTTCTTACTTTCTTTAGTATGAAAGAGAACATAATCCAGCCAGGTGGCCAACTCATCCTGGCTTACCTGGGACTTTCCTGGGTTTAGCCCTGAAATTCCCATGTGCCAGAAGATCACTCAGTCCCAGGCAAATTGGGACACTTAGTCACCCTAGAGTCCTGGTTCTTAATAGTGGGTATTTTTGTCTCCCCCCATGATAACCATAACAAATAGTTACCAGGCTCCAAATTCAACAGAAGCAAGACTGAGGAACTTGGTACACTGTTTCTCCTCTCATGTAGTCCCAAGGTTCCCTATATCACAACTGACCAGACTAGAAGGCCTGGGGAAGGTGGGTTCTGAACTGGCCTCAGGTTGAAGGTGTTTAGCTGCTTCTCAGACCTTCTGGGAAGAAAGTATAAAGGTCCATCAGAAGCTTCTGGTGTTTACAATCCAGATTGTCTCAAAGTTTCCCCTCGGATCTAATCTCACATTGCAGTATATGCTCACTTGGGACCTGATCCAGGAGGTAGTGAACATCATTAGGCTAAATGTGGTCTAAATGGAATCTAATTTCATTTTCTCAACAGGAGTCAGAATTGTGACAGTCTTAACTGGAAATCTGAAACTTAAACATTCCCAGCAGAAAAGATGGACCAGGGATTTTCTCCTAAACAGACACCTAAACCTAAATCCTGTCTCTTCCTGCACTGAGATTATGTTCAAATGACAGGAGTTCATTTTAAAGGGGACCCCACTACCCTGTATCCTCATTTCCCTCTGATCCAGGAGGAATATTCTGACCTTTCATTTCTTCTTTGTGGTGAAATTTGACATTTGACAACGATTTGATAATAATCGATGGCCCTTATCCAGTTGTACGAACAGTGATTTCTGAGGTCTCTAAATTTCTTCTTCAGCTATTCTGATTCATTCACTTACTCTTCTAAATGGTCGTTCTGGCTGGTCTTTCACTTGTGCTCTTAATGTAATTGTTTATATAGCAATAAGGAGATGAGCAGAGTTTCCAGACCACAGCTATCACCTGCAGGAGGCTGAGCTGCTGTGCTTCATCCACAGGAACTGCCCAGAAACAAAGTTCCTTGAACTTGGACAAAGACCCCACCAACTTAAACTCTGGGCTAGGTTTGGGGAAAGGGGGCCTGTGTTATGCAGATTCTTTGAAGGCTCTGCTTGAATGGCATTAGGGTAATGTGGTCAGCGGGCTGGGGAGCTCCCAGGAAACAGTCACTCATGTCAACATCATCTTTCAGGGGTGAGGCAGAGCCAAGGTGGAAAATGCTTAGCTGGATGCCCTCTAAGATCCCAATCAGGCCAAAACTTTCCATCTCTATAACTTCCTGTGAGAGTATTTGAGGAAGCAGAGTGTTCTTAAGTATTGAGATGGTAACAGAACAGAATAGCTTGGACTGAGAGGTATGAAAGGAGGAAGCCCTTCACACACTCTAGTACTTCCATAGCACTCTCACCTTCATATATATATATATATATGTGTGTGTGTGTGTGTGTGTGTGT